TATACACAGAACGATGACGATGATCCCGATATATGCGATCACGATGATGATCGACGATCTAATGGCTCGAGTAGTTTTGCTTTCCCCCGGAGGAACGCAGGGAACGCTCACGCTCGAGAAAAGCGGCCCGTTCCTTTTCCGCTCGTCGATCGACTACCGGCAACTGCATTGCAAAACAGAAAGAACGGAATAAAGCACTGCCTGTGGATATTTCCGCACGATTAGCCAATCATTACACCGATGACGTTTGTAAATGTCAGAGCGATCTATCTCTATTGCCGAATCTTCTATAAGCGCGATTAATTTTTAACTTTCGAATACCGACAGTGAGTGAGCCAAATCATTAATGACACAATGACGCAGAACTCGATTGGAAATTTAATGTAAAAGTGATGATCCACGGTTCGAAATGATTTTTGTATTGAAGAAGATCACATCTGCCAGAATTAATGGCACGATCAAATTTGTGGCACGAGCGCAAATACAATTCGCAAAGCGCAAAAACATTCCATTTCTAATTTTAGTCTAAGTTTAAAGTCTAAATTATTTCTACGGCACTAATTCGTATGTAATTTTTAAAAAATTAATCATTTGGCTTAATAGCACATAAGATAGACAATAGCAATCTGTATACTACAATTTGTCCATTATCGGCAGTAATTGACGATATCGCGGTGACATCCAATTCGCGTAGACATCGCGTACCCGTGAATGTTCGCATTGTGAAAAATTATGCTGTTCTGAAAATTGCTTTTCTTCGCGAGGATAGATCTGCCCTCTCTTGTTTCTGTTGAAATCGACGAGACGATAACAAACAGATAAATTCCTCGCGGAAATTTCATTATCGCATTAATCCCCGGATCTCCGGAAAAGCGCTGAAGCGCACTCCCCGGAAAACGCCGGAATACGCGTCCTCTGAAAGCTTCCGAGGACGAACTCATCCAAGGATTTAAATTTAAGCTAATTCCTTCTTTCGCGAAGATATTCTAAAGACGCGCTCCACGTGTAAAACGTTGATTTATACAATGTCCGTCAATATTTAATCAATTTCCAGCAAGAACATTCACGGATCCGACGATCGATCGGCGATCGAAGCCTAGGGATAATTAATGCGATCGAAGCTGCACTACGATTCAATTCAATTCAATTATCCGGATTACGGTCTTACCCGCAACACAATCGGACGAGAATTCGGTGAGAATTCGGTTAAATTCGTAGCGTTCTCCGTGGAAGGGCGTGTTTCCCGAGTAAACTCCGCCGGGTCCTTAATTAACGATCCTCGGCTCGCGCTCGCGCCTAATTGCAACGGGCGCGATTAATTATCGCGCGATGCGATTCGCGCGGTCTCCTTAAACCGCCTCGGCTTCGACGCGGTTTCTTTAAGTCGCACTTTGACCCGGTTTCCCAGACAGAAAGAGAAAAAGAGGGACGAGAGACGAGCGCTCGCGTCAAGGACGGATTTTTGCGTTTTGCGCTTTCACGTTCACGGGCACGCCGCAGACATGGTGCACGTACGACACGCACGGGCCGTGTTCTCTTTCTCTCGGCGTGTATGCACACGACGCTGGTGGAAAACCGACTGCGCCGCTCCGCCGTTCGGATCCTCGTCTATATCGCGCGCTCGCCTCGCGGCCGCACGTGACAGAGCCGTCCGTGTGCACGCGGTCCTTTCTCCGCGTTACAACACGCAATCGCACGCGAATTTACACGAGGGACCGGTCCGTGATCGATCGGACCGATCCGTCTCGAAAATTAAAAGAGGAGACCAGCTAATTACGTGTACGCTAATTGCAGCACTGTGTAATGGGTGATGCGCTTCGTTTATTTTTTTGCCCCCTCCCCCCCCCGCCCCTCTTTATTGGATTTACCATTTGGATTTTAAAGGACGAGTTCGAAGAGTTAACGATGGTCGCCTGGATAATACCGTTAACGATTCTTTCGGAGTTGGATCGATGAGGATAGCAGATGGAAATTTGCGCGAAAAACGCGACCCTGTTTTCGGGAGTCACGTCGCTGAATTATGCATCGGGGGATCCTTCCGAGGCGCAGTCGTAATGAACTTTACAATGAATTGTAAATCGTGAAGAAAACCGCCGTTCTTTTTCTACCCGCAGGTTGACAGGCCGAGTCGTGGTCATTTACCACATATGCACGCGACCTGTGTTGGCGGGCGTACGTGTGAGAAACACATATTCCGAAACCGGTTTTCGAAGCTCGTTCCCGAGCTGCCGTAAGCTTTATGATCGAAAGAAAGCAAGTTTCGAAACTCGATGCACTTCGCCTTCGACGATGCGCTCGAAAAGCTCGAAGTTTGGATCGTCGCGTGAATGCATATTTAAAGCCTTTTAAAAAATCGAATTTTTATTCGCGATCGCGCGATTGAAGAAAATATTCAAAAGAAAGATTATCAAGTCACTACGTTGATATCAAAGCCAGATTAAAAAATTGACTTTCTTTCTCTAAAATTAACTAAAATTAAATGACGTTGTTGTAATTATCTTCAACAGACAATACAGGAAGCGTCATAAATACATAGGCTATAAATACTGAATATGTTAATCATCCTATCATTTTCCGTAAAATATGTAAACCTTTCATCTGGTTAACATTAAAAATTTACATCTCTTTTAAACATACGATAAATAATTTATTTATCGTCGTCGTTTAAATAAGGAAACAAAAGAATAGATTTGATATGCAAATTAAGATATTCATTCTGTATTGCACGGGAAAACTATAAATGGAGCTGCTTCAATCGATACGTCAATCGTATAACACACGCCAGATATTATTTATCTACAGTCAATCGATCAAAAGCAATTCTCAATGCGGTTGTATTAGTCAGGAGAGAGAGAGAGAAGAAAGAAAGTGGAAAAATGAAAAATAGATTCGAGATATCTGCGAGACAGCCCGGCTATTTCTCCTATGAGATTACGTTGCAAAATTGCGCGATTTGAATAAATGTTTAAAGAAAGGAAAGAACGATGCAGTTGCAAGCTCGTCGCGACAAGTCTGGCAGTCCGAAAAAAGAGCAAGCTCGTTTGCGTCAGTCGTTCGCGAGTGCATATAAGTAATGCCGCGTGTTCGATTATGTATAATTATTGGCTAAAGGCAAAACAATTTCGCGTATGTCAAATAATATCCGACAAAACAAATATCCGATCCACTTCGCCAATTGGCAATTGCTCTCGGAAAATTTTAGAGATATGAATTATAAGGTGATAAAATGAGAAAATTGAGCGGTGATATGTCGCGATTTAACAAGTTATATGGATGATTAATTACGTCTGGAAAATTTAACTTTCTGAATGATCATCCCCTCTTTCGCGATGAAAATTGAATTGCGTAAGATAATAAAGTAAAATATCGAGAACATAAAATATCGAGAGTGAAAGAAAGAATTAAATATTCGAAAACTTGATAAAAAATAATCAGATAAAAATAATCAAAATTTTATGAATAAGTTAAAAAGTGAATAAATAAAAGTAAAAACAAATTCGTGTTCTTGTAGTTAATTAATTACAAATGTATAGGATCCTTTTGTTTAATAATTAAATCGTTTAAAAGTATTAGAAAACTTGTATTGAAAATTACGACAGAAATTATTACTCAATTTCATTTCACGTTTATGCCAATTGGACAAATGTAAGAAATTATTACTCAATTTCATTTCACGTTTATGGCAATTGGACAAATGTAAGTAATAAATCAAATCGATTTCTCATTTTCCGTGAAAGATATTCAAAATTAAATCGAGATCGAGATGTCGCAAGAATTACCGGAAGGACGGTGGCTCGTCTTAACGATGTCACGCTCATTTTAGCTCGTTTTATGTCGATGTATATACGACAGGCACGTAATTCGTAGTCCATAGTAATGTTCCCCGTGCCGAATGCGATCATTATGCCTGTATGTTTCGCGATCTCGCGCGCGCACTCGGTATCCTTGACGTCAACGGCTCTATTTTCGGTCGTCGTCGGTGTACATTTAGCACCGGGCGTACGTCGTAAAATCTACGACGATCGAACACGCGCGAGCTGCTGTGTTCATAACTAAATTGCACTTCACCGAGCTTTCTCCATCCCATAAGAGAACTCCTTACATCAATGATTCGCTACGTCGAGGGAAACTTATTCACAGTTGACAGGATTGGCATTTAAACTAATATTTTGGCCCGATTACAAAATAAACTAAATCATGTCTTATATAATACAAACATTGCAGAATCATACTTATTACAAAATGATTTATTTTTTTTTTAATTAAATGAAAGTATCGAGCTATTTCATTGGGACTTTTCTAGTATCATATTTTTGCGAAATTAAATATATAGATAAAATGTTTCCGAATCTGATAAAAAATATAAAAATTTCATTTTATCAATGTTTATTTTAAAAATTATTCAAATGGGAAAAATATATTCATTTACGGAATTTATCTAAATGATTTTTTTTGTTTACTTATGCATAATGCTCTTACTATCTGCGTAATAAAACTTAATTTTTTAAATGCCGCTCATATATTTAACACACAAAGTTATATAATATCTACTAAATAAATGTATTTTTTAAAAAGAATTTTAAACAATCTTTACTTATGACAGTAATAATAGCAAGGACGGAAAAAATAATTGGAAAAACACTATTAATTATGATTCCTTTTTTATCACAGAATGCGTGATGATCATAAATCCGTGGTTGAAAAAAAAGAAGCGCCACCGATAAAAGAGAGGAAGCACGTTGTGTTTCTTGCTGCGAAACTTCAAAAGATTCGTTATTTACGTATATATTGCTCGTGAATATAAAACGAATTATTTTTCCAGACCACGTTTCGAAATCAGAGCATTCCTAATTAAGATACCGAAAAGAAATCTATGTTTAATGATCGCGTGTTTACTAATCTTGACGTGTTAATTGCCATTTCCAAAAAAAAATAAATAAATAAAATACGTATGATATATCCTGCCATATTTTTTATCCCTCAAAAGTTTTTTTATTTCCTTTTCCAATTACAATTACGATCGAGAAAAATCCGCTTCATCGCGCAACATAGTTATACCAGTGTGATAAAAAATTACGAGCGGACTTACGAGCGTTTAGAGGCGAGTTATGAGGCGATTAACGTAATCGGTCTGTTCCCCATTTCCGTAGTTGCAGATAGAGTCATTGATTTTCTCGAAATTATTCGATTCTAGCTGCTCGAAATCGAGCAATTTGCGTAAAAAAGCCATACATAAAATCTGTAATTTTTTATTTGTATAACTTTAAAAAATTTTGCGTTACGACATTAAATCTAGGGCAGGGTTATTCCAAAATAATATCATAATTACATAACAATAGATTTACAGTTTATTTTTGCGTGAATGTAGCTTCGAAATCGAGATTTATGAATTCTGTTGTCTAATTTGTGCCATAGATTTCTGTCTTTTTGAGAAAAGCAGCTGTACTATTTATGTTACCAGATGTGTGTTTCGCATCGAAATTGGCTTTTTCCAAGCGAATGTTTCCTTCGGCCACTTGTGCCAGATTTCGAAGTCCGATGAAGTCTATTAGGAAACATTACGTCATTCTTGGACTGCTGCTTGAGACGGAAGAAGATAACTGACAAACAGACATTAATGCACATTTACATGCGATTGTGATTCATCGTTTTATGTTTTTCATAAACAGATACTATTTTTCAAAAGAAGAATTCAAAATGTAACTTTGATCTTTAATTGTATGATTTGCGTTTAAATTTCTTTAAATATTCAATTTGCATTTTATTGTTAGTGTATCATTTAGTTGTACATATGAAAGAATTAATAGATAAGTCTTTAATAGAGTACAATAGACTTGGAGTAAATATTTGCCAGAAGCAAAATATCAGACCATCTTGAGTTAGTCGGTTCAATGACATCAAATTAGTTGTAATAAAAGATTACGCTTGACAGCTAGTTGATGAAGTAAGACAATCGAGATAACGATTAATACGACGCTATTGAGTGTAATAACTGTAAACATAGGAATGCGCTATGACAAAAACACTCATTTACTATGTACGTATTCTAAAATAACAATTTGCAAAAATTCTTATGCAGAGAGAGAGATCGCTAAGATATATTTCTCGAAAATATCATCCGAAATATATTACAGTCAAAATATTAAAATCTTGACAGTTAAAGAGTTTGGTATCGTAAATTTTGAAGATTATCATAAAATTTAATCTTTCAATCTTTTAAGTATCAAGTCGATATTTACTTGGATATAAATAAAGTAAAATAAATAAATAAATATATATATATATATATATATATATATATATATATATAT